TTAAAAAAGACGACACTTTCATCATATACGGGGTAAGATGACGAATGGAGACCACACGCCGATGTACCCTCATGCCCTAGGGCGGAAGCACCCCCGCACACGTGCGCTTGCACAGGACGGACTTCGCTTTGCACCCGCATTCCTCTGGGTGGCCATACGCGCCCCATTCGCGTTTCTGAGTCCCCTAGGCAACCTGCCTTCGCATGTGTGAGCGAGCCGCGCCTCCGTCACCGCGGCGGCGGCTGGCCAATGTAATTTTGTGAATTGTAATTTAGTAAATTTTTGAAAGATCTCTCACGCCGTTAATATGCACATTTCCGGCAATACGGATACGGATTATTGTATTTGTGAGTTAAAGGTCTTCAAATTACTTCTAATGAAGTTTTTCGAAAATTCAAAACTTTTCTGTGAAAAAGAGCTTCAAATATCGAATTTACACAAGCGCTTAAGCGCCATTTTCTTGAAAATGGTTCCCAAATGTTCAAAGAAAACGACCATTCAAGACGAGGTTTTACTGTTATTTAATATTCGTAAAATAATATTTCTGTTCTACAATTAAGTAACTGAAAAATTAAGAAAATTGCAAAAAATATACTTAGGGCGGCAATAGAAGGCAGCTGGCAAGAGTTTGTGGCACGTTCGTATAGCTAGTCGATACCAAAGGAAATAGAAAATGAATACCGGAAAGTCTGTGCCATTCTGTAGCACCACTAGAGTATATTTAGTACTATCCATAATAAATGTTCCAAGAAAAAAATTGGAACCGTTTTAGAGAAACTCTTGCTTTTTTAAAAAACAAAACAAAAAAAAACTATCATATTGCACGCAATTTTGCGCGAAAACGACTAAAATTTTCAAAAAGTCTACCAGACCGTAATGAATGAACTCAGTATGAAGAACAAATTGTATTTGGAGGAAAACTATTTTCAATTTTGTAGTTGCAGGAAGACACCGAAAAAATTCAAACTTTTGAAATTTTCGAAAATTCAGAGTTAGCCTTGAAAATCGAACCTGTGACACGTTTATAAGTGTATTTTACTCTATTCTTACAAGATATTTAAAGAAAAAAAATTGAGCCGTTTTTGAGAAAAGTTTCAAAATCTCCGGGGAACTTCATGTAAAGTATCCCCAAATTTTAAAGAATGTTTTTCAAAATATCATACTTCAATTCAAATCAAAATTTGACTCGAGCCAGATGGCCAGCGGTTTCTTCAATATGGAAAAATATCCTACGCATTGTTTAGGCACCAGTAGTGTTCACAGACAACGGACGGACTGACGTTTTGCCGTCATTCAATCTTCCGATATCAAGGACCCACTAAACATGGATTCTTACATCACCACGTGTAAGAGGCATTGTTTTCTATATGTAGCAACTGGATTAATCCACTTTTTCGTTACCAGGGCCTTGTAATAAGAGTTTTTCTGCCGAAAATTCGCCGTTTTTTTTTTCGCGCAGCATTACATAACTTTTTCTCTACTGCGTAAGCGGTGGCTAGAACGTTAAGTTAGTTGTCACGTTTGAGGAGTTCGCAGGGCAACCACCACGCTGAAAGCACATATTGACACCTTTCTGCAACTTCACGTGTTCGAAATGTGCTAGTACAATTTTAAATGAATTTGAAATTTGAATTTTAAATTTGTGTATCGTGCTCCATTCAAAGTATTTTCGAGAAAAATTGATCCCATTACTTCTTCATCCACTTTACCACGCCATACATTCACTCTATTGAAAGTGCCACTGTTTGACTGCGATCTAAATCTGAAATAAATCTGATAAGTAACACAGCAAGAAGAAAACTAAAAAAAACTACAAAGACCAACAGTATGATAATTTTGTTCATTCCTTAATCACTAACAATTCTTTATGGCTTTTCACAAGAAAAATACGAAGTCAAAAAGCCACCATTCCCCCACTAGACACAATCTGAGGGCAAATGTTGAAACTAGAACAGAAAGCAGAAAAGTTTTCGCCGCGCTTTCGCGCCGTGCAAAACCACACCCTTCAAACTCCACAGTCCAAACCCTACAAAAGTTCATCACCAATCCTCAGTTCAGAAACCTAATCCTACCCCACCACCATATCTTCCGAAATCCCCCCGACACACAAGGAAAAAACACTCCTCAATATCCTGCAACTCCCTCCTCCCATAACCTAGGCCAAAGGGTGGACACAAAAGAACCGACAAAAACGACATAAAACAACGGACTAAATACTGACCCACGTCGAACCAAAGACAAACACTGACTATTGCCAATCCCTCCTATATCCTACCCCATTCCCCTCCTAAATCCATTCCTCTCCCTTTCCCCCACCCCCAAAACCTCCTAACAAAAACAATCCGTCACGTCCCTACACGGGCTCCCAATCCCCGTCCCTGAACGGGGGAGAGGGGTTGCATAAAATCAGCAGACCACCAGACAGAGAGACAAAACATGGACGAAGAGTCTCATTAGAGACATGCGTACCACACAAAACAAACTCAAGATCCTGTCCGCTCCTATCCCGAAACGTGGGCCCGTTTGCAATTCAGAGCCAGCTGCACCGCACTGGACTCACCCAACATCTCCCTCTGCGCCAGTTGTCACCCGCGTTCCGAGACACGCCCACCTCGGCCCTTGAGGAGAGCCCGCCTCTGGTGGCCTTCCCCTTGCCGCCAAAGGACTGCCCCCGCTCCCTCGCTGGCCTTCCGACATGTGTGGTCCAGCTGGCCCATTGGCACGACGTTACAATAGCCACACACCACCAGTTCGCATCAGAACACATCTACACCGCCTTTCAGAGAAAACATCATACTGTAGACCTCTTTCTAGATGGTGCCCAAGCACTCGGGCGGATCTGGCACATAGCATTGACCCACAAACTCAAAGAAATGGCCACACCTTTTTATTTTATCCAAATAATCCCCAACTTCCTACAAGATAGAACCTTTTCGGTCATAGGGAGTCACCACCGATCAAATCCTCAAACTGTCAAAGCCGCGGTACCACAAGGGTCGCCGCTTTTCTCAACGTTATTCAACTTGTACATGACAGACTTACCCTAACTCAACTCAATAAAAATAGCGCAGTTTGCCGATGATACTGGAATCTGTGCATTCGACCATTCACTAGAACGTACTAAAACCCAACTTCAATTATATCGTACCTTCTAGACAGCTGGGCCTTCAAAATAAAATAAAATTAAATCCAAACAAAACTGCTGTAAAAATATTCACTTGAGGCCATGTAACCCGCCCACTCCACTTCCATTACATCAGGAAGTAATTAACTGGTACCGGCATAACAAACAAATATCTAGGGTTTTTAATGCATACACAATTAAACTGTAAACGGCATATAAACAATAAAATATTACAAACTAAAGCTCCTCTAACTAAGCCCAATAATAAACAGGTCACCAAACTTCCATACAACACAACCTATTTAAAACCATAATTGAGGGTGACAGCGCAATAGTGGCCTATCCCACATTTTTAGGAAATTGCGTTCTCTGTGTTAATCACATCTTAATCTCCCTAACTTCAACGTGTAACAGTTTCAGCATGTTCGCGTCGATAGTTTTCAAGTTATAATTACAAAAAGAACTGTTGCACTCAGCTTACGATTACATTTCTTTGTGCAATAGTGGCCTAAGCATAGGCGATGCTGTTTTACACAAGATGTAATCCACCACAAATGTTTAGTCAGTGGTCATTCTTACATAATATCATAATATGAAAACACAAATGAGTAATTTTGCCAATAACTTCATCAGCCATTTTCTCCAAACACAGGATCTGGGGCCACTATTGCGCTGACACCCTCAATTATACCACTCTTATTATATGCTTGTCCAGTTTGAATTAATGCTGCAAGATCGAACACAAACGAACTACAGATCGTTCCAAACCAGTTTCTCCATACAATTAAAAACGCATCATAGTTTATTTCCAACCAACAGCTGCCCAATGAATTCCAACTCGAAACTATAGAAAACCACATCACGTATCTCTCCACCCATTTTTTACCATAGCTTATCTCAAATCACAAGAATACAACCCCTCCGGTTAGACAGAAATTCCATTCATGATACTCGTATTAAAAATAGATTTCCTTTCTTATACCTTTCATACAAAGTTTTCCGAAATGTTTCTTTTCTGAGGTCTTCCCATAAAGGATTACTCCCCTCAAAATATGACTTTCAGAATTAAGCTATTAGCATTACGTTTGTATTAAGCCAACAATACAAGTGTAGAGTGTGAACTGAACTATGTAAAACCTGAAAATGTTAATAATAATAAGAGCATTATGGCTCATAATTTCGCGACTGAATTTAATTACAATTAATTTAAGGTCTGCTAGCTTGAATATTATTTCTACATATAGAGATATTGCGTTCTTCTGCAATGTTACTGATAGTGGACCTACTAGTTCGGACCGTCTACCATTACGCCACTAGAGTTAACATACGGCGTGCGTATTATTACTCGCGCAACTTTTCTTGAATGATTGATAGAAGAAATGAGGGAAGAGTGGGGGTATTAGTTAAGTAATCAGCCACTAGATTTTATGAAGCAATGACAATCTCTGGAATATCAGACATACCTTCCCAACTTTCTCAATAATTTGTTCTTTCTCAGGAACTCGAGGTACCTTCTGTGATGGATCTTCATCTGCTTCGGCTATTTATTTAGCTTTTTTGGAGAAAATTACGGACAGGAGTTTTCGTCTTCAACGGAAAGTAGTTTCTATTTGTCTTCACCTGTTTATTGTGTCTGAGAGGGGAAAGCAAGGTCATCGTTCAAGAAACGTTGTGCGAGTAATACTTGCTACGAGTGTTCCAATCATTTAGATATTGCAGCAGTACGTACTTTTTCAAGTCGAGTTCTTCTTTCGTCTTCTTGCAGTAATTGTCCAGTTCACAAACAGGAATAGATGAAAGCAAGGAAAGTGTTTGGAAAAAATTCTCTATGGTACATAAGAAACATTTTCGAGAAGGAAAAAGATGTACGAAATACGATCGACATAACAGCACCTTTTATTGACAATTTACAAAAATAGACAATAAACAACGAAACTAAGATATTTAATTCACAGCACCATCGTTATTTTAAATAACTGCAGTCTTCAGATTTAGGACAGTACTTTCTCAGAGCATTTTAAAATCTGATTATGAAAAACGGTAAATTTAACCATCTGCAATAAAATATCTTGTATAGTCTAGAGATTAAATGACATTCAATCGAGTTTAAATTTCCAAGTCATATGCATACCTTAATGTGAAAAAAATAATATAGACATTTCAAACAGATAAGTATGAACATTTATCGAACTTTCAACGATAAAATTAATACTCCAACTTTAGCCAAATATACTTTTTCTGACAATTTTTGAGAAAACCTAGAATTTCAGACCCTACAAAGGGAATGTTTCACATAGTTCACGATTAAGCGTCTTAAAATTATAACATGCATAAGTTAAATTGCTCATTTAGTCTTTGAACAATTAATTCAGCAATTGCCAGGGAAGATGTGGCGCCGGGGGAAGGAGCATTGCGGCAATGAAGAACGCGCTTTCCAACTTCAGTCTTCTCATTTAAATCGAAGACAAAGTCATCAACAAGATTTCCCTTGCTGTCCAGGGCTTGGGCACGCACTCCAGCTGGTCCTCTGCAAGAAGTCGTAAGCATAACTACAAACTTTATTCGTCTATCTAATGCATTATTTAGCTGTACATAGAAACATCAAACGGACGTGGTACAAAAATATTATACCTTTACTTTTACGTCATTTCATTAGAGGACATGATGTAGTTGAGACTATTATGTAGTTGAGACAGACTGAGTAGTTGGATGGTAACGTTCATTCTCAGTAGGAAGTTACTCTCCAACAACACAGTCTCATCTATTTTTAAACTTAACGGAGGGTTTGCAGACGTGACTGACACCCACAAGAAGACACTGACCAATCAGGACACAGTCATTATCATAGGACGGTAGAATAACATTAATTTGGACGGCCACTTTACATCTGAACAACATGTAAACAAATTACTAAGTGCCGCCCAAAATACTAACATTGTAGTCTCAACTTTGCACTTCTGGTACAACAGACCAACACTATGCAGCGAGATGAAGCACACAATCAATCGACGGAATTAAATGTGAATTTCGTTGAAAATGTTCTTGACATATCTGTCTTCCTACACTAAAAATTATATTACTTCGCATCTACAGTTCTCCAACAAAGATACCAGTGTATTATATTAAGTTCTTAAAAAAACTGGAGATAACACTAAACAAAGTCAGCAATCGATCTTTTCTACCCATTGTTGTATGCGAAGATTTTAACATTGGTTTTCTGGTCGACTCTTGCGAGAAAGAGCAGTTTCTCAACTTAACTCATTCCTTCAGTTTAGATATTACAGCAAATGTACTTATACAGATCACGCTAAATTCAAAGAAGGCTATCGATCAAATAATAATTAACAAAACTACTACTCCAAATGATATTGAAACAAAAGATTTAGGAGATAGCTCTGAAGAAGGCTACAGCAAGATGGCCGAAACGTCAGTACAATTGACCGAGACGCGGCTCATCCTAGATAGCCAAGAATGCATCGACAAGACCGGATAGCCAAGTGTTGCCGTCCATCTATTTTTCGGTATCAAGGTCCTACAAATCATAGATTCTGATTACACAACATGTCAGGGGAAGTAATATACTATATAAAGGAACACACAACACATCTTTCTGTTACCAGACCTGCAATAAGTGTTTTTTGTCGAAAATTCATCATTTTTCAGCGCACAATTACAATACTTTCTATCCTTACGAAGTAAGTCGAGAAAGTAAAAAACAATTACTCGTCTCTAAATATTATTACATCTACGATTTCATATTTTTCGACTAAAGAAATGCGCGAGAAAGAGATAAAAATGAGAAGAAGAACGAAAACCAATCTCCCGTTGAAATATTTCCTTGGAAAGAGGACGACGATTTCTTCTTCGCCTTGTCGCAGTCATTGATGATGGAACAAGTGGACAGGCATAGTGGACATTCAACGCTATTGGAGAAATGAAGAGAGGGTCATGAAAGATCCAGCCGTGGTCCACATCCCCCAAAACGAAACCAAAGATACCGCAAAAATCGACCCTACAACTTTTACTTTCTCTCATATTGCTTAAGCAGTATAGAGAGCGTATTGTAAGCATTGTGTTGCGGAAAAAACTATTCTTGCTACTAGAGCACATACATTCTCACATTATTTCCAACTTTGCAATTTTTGAAAATTCAGCGAGTTCAACGAAAATGAGATTTGCGCCATTGTTTTAAGCGTCCCTTGTTCTATCCGTGAAAACATTTTTAAGAAAAACATTGGAGCGGTGTTTGAGAAAATGTTTTCTTTATAATATGCATCAAAGCCATGAAGAAATTTCGCGAAAAAACTAGTTCTCACAAAATATGTACAGAACCTTTTTTAAAGATCTGATATCATTTCAGACAAACATCTCTATCTTCAAATTTTAGTTCTACAATGTTATGTTTTTGCAATTTTCGAAAATGCAGAGAATTCGCCTGAAAGGGCAATAACACCATTTTTCTGTTCTTTGAACATACGAGGAGAAAATTAAAAGATAATAAATGGAGCCAAGTTTGAAAAAAATAATTATTTATCACTCGGTATATTTCACACATTACACGAAAACTACTCATAATTTCTCAAAATTGTACATATTGTTTCTGTTTTTGAAGAACAATTTTAAAAAAGAACAAAATCTCTATTTTCAATATTATAACTACAGGCCGATGCAGCAAAAATGTTGAACTTTTGCAATTTTCGAAAAATCAGGAATTTTAACTAAAATATGACCTACACCATTCTTTTAAAAGTTTTTGCGCTATCCTAGGGCAAAACAAATAAAATAATTTAGACATTTTCGATAAATTTTTGAAAATGTAATTGAGGCTTTATGTAAAGTACCACCAAGTATGAAATTATCCGTTACTAAATATCCGATTATATATACGACAAAAAAAATTTTAAAAAATTGCAGCAGTTTTTGAGGAAATAAATGTTTAAAAATTACCTACATTTCTCGCAATATTACGTGAAAACTACTCACACTTTCGAAAAATAAACGTATGACACATGAACTGATTTCAACATCTGTGTTTGAAGGGTAGACGTCATTAAGGGAAAAGTATGTAATTTCAATATTGTAGTTTTAGGAAGTCGCCGAATAAATTTTGCTATTTTCGAAAATTCAGATTTCAATGAGCTTGACACTTGCGCTATTGGTAAGCTTCTCTTACGTTATCCAAGGAAAAAATTTTTAAAAAATTTAGAGCTACATTTGTTAAACTTTTTGAAAATGTGCTCATGGGTTCGTGTTTTCAGACGCAAAAGAGCGTAAGGTTTGCCTGAATCTGCCTTTACGAAGAACTTTTTCGAGAAGTTGCACTAAACTCTTATGCTCTTAAATTGCAGTAAATTGAATTATTCTTAAAGTAATGTGTCGAAATATCATATACATTGTTGTCTTTTCACGTGATCCACACGTTCGAATTAACGTTGGTATGTGTGCACACCAGTAACCATATTTTATGAGAAATTGGAATATTTTTCAAATATTATACAAATATTGTACCTTTTAACGTCGTTTACAGTAACGTCCGGGATGAACTTCCGCAAATCATCAACTTGTTTTTTAAAATAAATTGATTTTACCATTTCTTGCATTCCAAACTTTGCATTTTTTGCAGCTAACTTTATAAAACCCGGATATGTCACTGTACCAATGAAATCAACAATACTAAAATCCATCCATCTGAAACACAACAAAAATACACATTTAGAAACGTTATTTTGAAACAGTAATTAAAAGTCGATAATAGTTTGCCCCCTAAATGTTCATTAATTTTCAAACTGGAACGTGTAGTCTAAGAGCCTTAAAACATAATTTAGTGCCGTCCACACCACGTGGTATTTAAAGCTTTAGTCTGATTAAATAAGATACTTTAGGATTTACTACGTCAAGAAAATGTGAAAACCGAACAATCGCTGCACATTAAAATAGCGAATGTAAAAAAAACACTATTTGGTTTGAATTAATTTAACGACTTACGAAGACCTCAGAGTCCACTAGACCCAATTCTTAAATGAATAAACCACCTTGACCATAGGCGCACCTAGAATTTTTCTCGGGGATGAGGACTAGTGTCCAGGTGGGTGGTTTCAAAAATTGATAAAAAATGACTCATTAGAATAGAAGACTAGTAAAAGGTATATATTTTAATACGTATCACAGGCTTCGGGGGCTGAAGTTCTCATGAGCTCATGAGCCCCGCTCCCCCTTGCGTACACCACTGTTCATGACAGACATCATTCTGATTGCCCGTGGTGCACGATTCAGTACAGCAATACTCACCTATAGCCCTCCCGTTTAAACGCTAACACTGCATTTGGTCCTAGCCACACACTTCCATCCATCCTAGGAGTAAAGTGCACCCCTAGAAAAGGGTACTTTGGGTTCGGTACCTGGAAAAATAAATCGGTCAGGAGTGTTGCCATCTATGTTAAACTCGTTTCCTAAATCGGACCATCAGCACAATTCGTATACGAAATTCAATAACCCTAAACTACGTTGAGTAACATAGTGTTGCGTAATAATAAAAATGCGATAGGAAATAGAATCCAGGGATTGGGATGAATCCAATCCAATGATTGATTTCCATACGTAAGATTTCCTGGTTTATGACCAATGTTAAAATGGAATAGAAACCAAAGGCCTGTAACACAAACAAATTGTGAACTATTGCGCTACATTATATTAAATGTAATGAAAATAAATACATTTTTATTTGAATGCTGTATGCGTGACAGAGAATCTTTGCGCAATCGTTCGGAATTTAAATGCAATAGAAGCCCGTTATAAGTTGCATCTATGGATATAGATGTTTGTGTCTTATGAATGGGAACTAATATAAATAGAAATTATAACTAATATAAGAGGGAGACACTAATGGGAGTACATTACATTTTTACCTAAGGTTATTTTACATTTTATTACTATCGAGCGTCACATCATATCGAGTCTTTTCCGATATTAACATTAACTTCCTTATTGAACCCATTGATTTGTGGGGAAAATTTGACGGCGAGGGGTGATTCGTGGGCTTGTGGGTGAGGATCTGTCGGTGGCAACACCCCACATAGAGCCCATGATATGAGCCTGCTTGCTCAGTACAATGACTAATTTTGAAACTACCACTGTCAAGCGGCAATGAAGGTAATGCCATGCCTAAAAGGCACAAAGGACTTGCGAATCAGGTATGTGGTAGGGTAATCTTCCATCGTAGGATTTATGAATGCTGACTACGCTAGGTCGATAGATGACGGTCATTCACAGGATATGTGTTCACCATAAACGGTGGACCCGTAACATGAGACTCAAAGAAAAAACAGGCAGATTGCAATTTTCACGACAGAAGTTTGAGAACATGGTTCTGACCGAAGCTGCCAAGGAGGCCACGCACCTCCTAAGTCATCCTAGATGGAACCACTTCCACTCGAATAAAACATAAATATTCGCCATCCCTTTGTTCGGGACGTCGTGGAGCCAGAACGACTCAAGTTGCAGTACTTGGCATCATCGGACATATCAGCTGGCATTTTCACCAAGGCCTTAACCACACCGAAGCACGAGAAGTGTCTGCATCTGATAGGATTCATGGAGTAAATCCTGTCCCTGTCCCGAGGGGGTGTTGGACTTGACGGGACGATACAATCCCGTTCAATAAGCACCAATCACCCTGCCGAGAATTCGACAACTGCTGCTCTATCCTCTCTTGGCAAGCACTTACTCTGTGAGTAACCGTCACAGTTAACGTGTGTGGCCCAATGTGTGTTTATAATAATAGTGTTTTATGCATCACGGTGCGAACCCACAACTGTGAATAACTGGAATGCAAGTTACTTTGGATGCGTGTGTACAGTCCGTAATTCCAACACAAATTCTCAATGGAAATTGAACATAGCAACTCCTCGAATTTTCTTTATTTAACTATTTCTATTAAAACAATCTACACATCACCCCCATTCCATTTAACTTTATTATCATAAATAACTCTTGGATCAACAGATTATTCCATTTTCCTAGCTCAGAAATTGATTTTAATAATGAAATGAATAACATTCTAACCATTGGCTTAAATAATGGTTAAGATCATTTCATTACTAAACTTATTACCCAAAAAGAAGTAAAAATTATTATGAAAAAGTTACTTCAAATTCTCCTTTGGAACTTAACAAATTTATTTGCATCCCCCACTAGGTCGAATATCAAAAAGCATCGGTCGTTTCAAAAAACTCAAAATTTCTGTATTTTACAAAATTGTATACTCCCTCCCATCAGTATTACAGAGTACCAAATCCCCTGCACCTTCTGAAAGTGGCATTTATTGTCTCACATGTAATTACTGCGATTCTGCCTATGTAGGACAAACAAGCAGAAACGTTTGCAGCAGAACAAAAGAACATACCGGGAACAAAAAAGGGTTCTCAGGGCACCAACTGATGTCACTACAGTGCCTCTGACCGGGAGGTCCTAGGGTTTGAGTCCTGGAAGTGGTATGATTTTCCACATCAGTTAGACAGCTAGGTCGAATTCAGCCGCTGTCTGGAGGAGAATTCTAGAGACCGGCTGCTCTGGTCGGTCGATTTTCGTAGTTTCTCCAACCAATGCCAGGCGAACCCTAAGAAACGAGCCATGGACTGCAGGCGATTTTCCTTCCTCTTCTTTGTCCTATCTCCCCTAACGTACACACACTTACACTCATATGCACTAAACTCTCAAATTTGTCGGGAAATTAGAGCTTGTTCAGGCTGGGGCGGTGCCCCGCTAGTGGGAGATACCTGGTTAGGGAAAATCCGCGCCAACCAACGTAGGTCGGCTCCAGATCTCACCTTTCAGCGGAGAAGATCAACGCCATCTCCCATTTATGCACTACACTTACGGGACTAATAACTTTAGCCGTTGACACGCCCGGAATCACTAACCAATCAATAAAATAACATTTTAGATATCGGTAGGAAAATTTAGATACTTCCACCTTTGCTAAGCATTTGATTCAATTTAACCATTCTTTTGAAAAGTAAGAATATCATTGCTTCACTGAGAATTGACCCCTCGAGCGCGGTAGGCCCTAGTAGGTACTAGTAGGTACTCGTACAGCGATAGATGGCATTTGGGAAGAGTGTGGGGCAAAACCGAAAAGCCAGTCCCGACTTAAGAGAACAGGAATTACATTTTCTAATGTGAAAATATACTATTTCCCAAAATAGTATATATTTTTTTGCTTGTTATAAGTTAATTTTTGCAAAAACCTGAGAGACGGAAAATTGTTTCTTTAACGTTGACATTTTTACTGCATATACTTACAGGATATATATTTCTGCTGACCAGATTTACTTTCTTATCATTGAGAAGCATGTATTCTCCACGAATAGGAACAATTTTTGGTGATCTTTTGCAACCGGTCATAACAGCCAGTTTGTCTGAGTAAAGACCTGCACACACAACTGCATATCTGGTTTTTACGCACTGAAAAAATGAAACAGAATAATAGTTATTATATTAACACGAATGCGAATTATATTAAGTTTGTATTATCTATAGTAAAAAATAGAGAATCTTGTTATCTAAAACACCAAACATAAAATAGGCCGCATTGACATCCACGTACGAAAGGTTGCATACAGAAATCCTACTCTGTTGCACAATTACAAGAACACATTTTATCTTAACCTCTGACAATTGACTCATTAGCATTTACACCCATTTTCGCTTATAATCAAACTCATGGCAGATACTGCTAATTTCCCATTAATGTCCGCATATTCAATTGTCAACATCCTGACACCCAGTTCATACAACGGGCAATACATCATGCCCAAGAATTCGCTCACAGCACCGCTCGTCCCAGTAGCTCGTGATTAAAGCGGAAATTATGCCGAAACCAGAACACTCGGGTTCGATTCCCGGTGGGGGTGACAATTCTTTGGACAAACTTAACTAATGTTTGCAAATCTTCGGCGAGAAGCACTAACCATACTGATTTTATAAAAAACTAACAATTCGGTTCCTACAAATGGAATGTCAGTAGGCAAACGTGCGACTGCAGAACACATCAATTTCTCGACATTGATTGTGCATAACTCGGAAACGATGGGTCTCTTAGACCCTAAAACTCCAATTTTCAGCTTCCCGGATGGCCGCTTCGGGTTTCTGGCTTAAATCTACCTCTTGTACCTCTATTACATTTTAGGTCTTCTGGGTACCGTACTTCGTAGCGCGCGAGGTAAGAAATATGCAGAATCTCGAAATATAAGTAAAATTCCATTGTCTATTTTATATTCTATGCAACTTAATTGTACGGTCTCGCCACTGTTTTAAAATAACAGCTAAACAATATTAGAATGTTAATCCACGCACAATGGGTACCGGGCTTATATGATGTTACGTGTAGTTCAGGATTTGGCCGTTTGAATTTGGGTTTTAGTGTGGAGCTATCTGCACTATTAAAACAATGATTTACAAAGGGCCGAATGTTCTGCTAATAAATAATTCACAATTCAATTTTAACTCATTAATAAAATTAATAAAAACTCATTAAATTTAGTTTTATGTGTGATTTTATGTCACCGGTAATCAACAAAATCACAAAAAGGTTAAAACTATATACACTTTTACCGCATGAAACTTTCGCAAGTGATCAGCAGACCTTAACCTTAAAATCATTCATGACAAACCAAAAACAGGGTCATTTAGAAAATTTTGATCCAAACGTTTATTATTAATATGAATGCACTTTTGGTTAACAAATAATGTCTTTAGTTTTTCACATACTACTGCGTAACATTTAGGGGGCGGATTTTAATGAAATATCATTTTCCCCCCTTTCACTTCAGAAAAATGCCGTTTAGTATAGAAATTCATTGTATGTTATGACAAAAGAAAATGGGCGCTTTTTTTAAAAAAATTCGTCGATTTCTATTAATGTCATTTTTTACCTTTTCCCGTAATTTTTAATGCATTTTTCGCTGATCTATTTGAATGGTAATTCCTTCAAATAATATTTACGACAAGCAAAACAACTGATTTCCACAGAATTCCTGAGTACCACTTATACCTGTTAGCTTATTCGATTTCTTCGCTCAGAAGTTGTAATGTCAGCCATTGTGAATATGTAATCGAAGGTCCCTGTGTCGTCTAACAACGCCATTGGCGGTTCAGCCGATTTCAGGATAACTAAAGAGAGTTTTTCTGGTTATGTACAGTCCAAACCAAAAGTTTGAAAGTTGAGTTCACTTGAATGAATCGAAGAAGCCTCTGTTACATCAATAACGTATCCAACTGCAGGATTTGTTCATCCGAACTGGTTTTGATAACATATTTTACGTCACTTTTCTTGTGTTTAAGGGTATTTTTAAAACATTTTAAGAGCATTTTATTGATAATTTTTGGCGATGTTTTAGGTCATCAAAATCCACGTCCTATTTGTCCAGTCACTAGGTATCCAGATTAAGAAAAAAGGATTTGTATATGTTCTTGGAGGTGGTGAATTCCAATTTGAGGTCTGCTACCTCGAAAAATGTCAGCTTCACAATTGCAAACAGGCTCAAGAATTTCGCAATTTTTGTTTTTCGCTTATATCTCGACCATATGAGCTTTATCGACGTGACCTTTAGGTTTGGATAAAATAATACAAACACCAAGCAATATAGCACACTTTTTGCATGTTGGCTCCACTGTGGTCATGTGGTCATGTAAACTCCGCGACACGGCTGCGTTTACCTGCCGTGTTTTGAAGCTAATATTGCAGAATATTATAGGTTTTGGTCTAGGACGGTAAACACAAGCGATCGGGGAAATGTGTGACATCTCAGACTTCGAAAGAGGGCAAATCGTTGGTGCACGGTTAGCGGCAGCATCTGTGACGAAAACAGCTGAACTGTTTAATGTTTCACGAGCGACAGTGTTCATGGTAATGACACATTCACAAAACATGGTAAAATATCTTCGACGAAGAGGAATATAGGCGAAAGTCAAAATTAACTGACAGGCCGACGAACATTGGAAAAGGATTGTGGCCAACGCAAAACTACTGTGACAAAAGTGACTGCAGATTTCAAAACTCACTAACTACTGTTTCCACAAAAACAATACGGCGGGAGCGTCACAAAACACAACCATGCAAGGGCTGCATTTGGAAAACCTCCCACAACGAAAGCCGAAGCAAAGCTGCGGAAGAAGTGGTGCCACGATCATAAAACCTGGACACTTGATTGGAAGACTGCGGTGTGGCCGTGGTGAATCATCTTTTACATTGTTTCCTTAAACGGCCGGGTTTATGTAGCCCCGGAGAACCCCAAAAGAAGTCCACAATCCGGCCTGCCTGCTTCCTATAATCAAGCATGGGGGAGGTTCCGTTATGCTGTGGGTGGCTATATTTTGGTATTCAGATGGTCCTATCACTACCATCATTGGCCGGATTACATCGAATGAATATCTGGACCTACTCAACAATGAAGTGGTTATAATGTCTAGTATATTGTTGCCAAACACTTCGATATCCCAACCCGTGTATCAAATTAAAGCAGAAACAACTCTATATCAAATACAACTTTCAACTTCAATTTTTCGATAATTATTTTAGGCGCTAAACAATGGCCAGTTTTTGGCCGCCTGGCTAAAACAGGGGAAAAGCCCTCTCCCGTCCCATTATCTCTCAGGGGCGCTTTATTTCCATTACATCATGCTTAAAAACGCCATCGACGAATTAATTATTTACAATAATTAACACTCCCTTACTCAAGAAATCAGTTGAAACAGGTAGACTTGTGCGGAATATTTCTATACCCAGACGTAGATAACCAAAATATAACGGAAACGAGAGAAAAGAGAAGAGATAATTCGTTCTGTTCATATAATAATTTTAACAATAATGTTCTGTCATGTGCCAAATTATGGTGTAAATAAAACAATAACATTACAGGGGAAATATCACGTAAGAAACAAAAAATATAGAATCGGGTAAGTTTATAAATATTTCAAAAAATAAGATTTAGGATAAAAATAATTAGAGCATCATTACGAAATAATACGGGGGAAAGAAATTTATGGACATTACCAAGTATTGTCACCTGGTTTTTAAAAGAATGTAATATGCCCTTCATTTCTCCATGATCAAATATGTCACGACCGTTGACGTGCGCAAAAGATTACTATATAAAAAACAGAACACAATATGTGTAAACGTATGATATGTTGTCAGATATGTATGGTCGGTACTCTACCTGAAGATGTAACACTGCAATATAGAAAATCTTTTCCTGATCCGAATGATAATGAGTTTTACAGAGATGCAATGCATTCTGTTTCTATCCAGAACATCCCCTGCTGTAGCTACAATTCTGAAGTTAGATTTGATTACTATCGTAATTTTATAATCAACGCGACTTTCGGCTGCTCGTGCAAAAGTCTCGACAATGTTAGAATTCCGAAGAAATTGATCACCCCCCCTCCCCCGATGTTCCGTGATAAAAAATGTAACTCGAAGTGTGCGCAGAGTACGGAGTTACCGACGTCAGTATCGGCCATGACAAACAGTAACATCTTACACAGATCCTCACGCGGGGTGTGCCGAGCTCTCAAGCTATTTTTTTGGAAAACTATAACATCCGTAGTAGTACGTAAGTGTATCAGAATAAAATATATTTCTTACGCCTTCATTAAAGAATACATAAAACAGTTTGCATGAACTCCTCCGAGAAGTGATAATCCAAGAACAACTACTTCGGGGTATTCAAATACCTCATGTCTGTACTGTAGATTTAATGAAAACAATATTACATATTACGCAAGTTGATACGAAGTTTATATCTTACTCAGAAATTACCTCGTGCTTTGTAGTAGGTGAGTATGTGTCCAAGTAAAATACGTTTGGTAAAAAATTTTGTTTATAAGAGAAGTTATATAATTATAACAATTAAATTATCGGGGCAATATTTCATTGTCCATAATAGGGGGTAGCTAGCTCACACATCCCTTAACCCTAAGAGGGCGGGTTCGAGATTCGACTCCGCCTAAAGTGCGTGGATTTTCGAAGGGCGAAAAATGTTTATGTATTTACAGTTTGTAAAATAACCATGGCTAAATGATACGCAACATTATATCTTCCAGCGATTTCCGTCCTAATCAGCGATTCCCCCATAATCATTTATCCCGGAACGCCTCAAGTAATGGATGAATATTTCTGAGACCATGATTGTGGCGTCCCCTGAAAGTAAATATGGGAGTCAAAATTTTCCACTAACGCTCGAAGTGCCTTTGCCGCCTATTATTCTGACCCGATGCTCTACTTCCTCTTTTCCTTCTTCTTGTCGATTTCTTACCTGCTACTTCGGGCTGCATTACGGTTTCTGAATTTATTTTTTATGACTATGGAAATGTCTTTACCACCTTTCTGATCTTTTGGTACTCCGCTCCAAATATGAACATAGGTTACAATCTCTTCTATACCCGAGCATTTTTTCTTTGTCTCAATTAAACTTACAATATCCACATTAAATCTTTAAATTCCATAATTACCTCCTGTACCTTGTTTCCCAAACCTTGAGTATTCCATGTTACAATATCCATTATCCATTTCGTTTGCCTAGTTCGTCTCCGGTTACCGTCCGTTTTCTCGTGATTAGGCCTTTTAGCAATTTCGTAGCTTTTATATGGACGACAAGGAGCTGGCCCATCGTCCTGACCCCTTCTAGGAGAACCAGGATTTTTTTAGAGTTTACTCTCCTAGGATGGCTTCACCGGGCCTTTGAGTTTCTCCTGCCCAGATCTCTTTTGGAATCTCCTTGTTCCGTTGGCGAGATCATATTCGTCTCCTTCATCCCTCAAAAATGTAGGCTAGGATTGTTGCCTAACTCTTCGTCTATTCGAGATCCTCTTCAGCGCACTGTACCGGATGTTCTCTTCTTGCGCCCCCGTCCTCTTCTGGAGTACTTGGTCTGACCCCTCCCCTTTGACCAGTCCGGAAAGGGAGGCTCTAACAGTAGCTACGCTACCGCCGGCATAGCTCTCAGGATCAGGGGGGTGCTCAATCTTCACCACCAACGTCAATGTCACGTACTCCCTAGGTGAAGCTGCTATATTTTCCTATTATCCTAAAACGTACTTTACTAACTATTTATAAACTTATATGATCCTACATTTTTGTTTCAAACCTAACAATTCTCCTTTGTTGGTTTCTTTTCTATCATACATTGTTTCTTTTATATCATACTTTGGCACATGACAGAACACATTGCATTTTTACAGAACGTATTGTCGTTTCTAAAATCATAAAACTACATTAATTAATACGGCTCACGTTGGTGGGTACCAAGGTCAAGGTTAGGATATACATGTGAATAGTTCTATACCAAATTTGGAGTATAACAGGGAGATCCACTATCAGCGACATTGTTCATCATGGTCATGGATAAAATATTAACACAGGTCAATATAAAAGGAAATATCAACACGGCTGAAACAATGCCTAGCCTACGCAGATAATGTGCTGCTCGTTGCACGTACTAAGAAGGCATTTGAACAATTCTTCCGGGCGTTAAATGAGAACTCAATTCATTATGGGCTAAAAATCAATGTTCAAAAAACAAAGTACATGAGATGTAAGACCAAAGTTACTCAATTAACTCAAATTCACATAACCAATATAGGATATGAAGAAGTGAGCTCTTTTATGTAACCGCTAAAGTTGAGTTACATAAACAAAATGCTGGAAATCTTTCATCTTACATCCACCAGAGAGAGAAAAGTCGTAAGAGATTATAAGAACTATTGTAGATAGCACCACGAGTAAAGAATAGATTTGTGAAAGCACTCACTGAAGTAAAAGAATAACGACCAATCAAAATTTAGCATGAACTACGTCAAGAATTTGTGAAGTGAGTAACGGAAGGTCTGCCATTTTTGCTAAAGGGTTTGGATGGAGAACATCGATTAGCACGCGGATCTGCAGAGAAAGAAACTTGGTAGAGTAACGAAAACTGAAGAAGCTTATTAAAATGTAATGCTTTTACAATCAATATGGAATCAATTAACAAGCGGAATATACGGAAATTTGAATACTGTGTGATATTTGATAAACGACGCTACTAATAACAGCCAGAAACTACACGATTTTCGGTCCGGAAATCTGGTATATTTCTGAGTCCATTTAGGATATGATATAGAATGAAATCTAATTGAAGAATGTTTCTATTTCAGCTTTTTTTAATATTCACTCTTTCATTTCATTATTTTCCACTATTATTTGATTTGCATCTTATTCGTTCGTCACTTGGTAATTTTATACTTTGGAGGAAGTAAGAAGTGAAATCATATTTCTTGGCAATTCAACCCCAAATGGAGTAAGGAACTCTAATCAAGAAGAAGCAGACTGGAAATCTTTTCGATGAATCGGTACGAACGCGATTGGCGAAAGCGGAAAGACCCTGCCAGTTACTATCGAAGTTCAAATCTAGAAGCAAAAGCGCGACCCTGAGCCGCGAAACAGTCCGCGTCTGCAGCGGCCAACGGGATCTTCGAGGGACAAGCGTCGTGAGTCGTTCCAACTTTCACTTGAACTTTATTCTTGATTGCCAACGAAACTTGCGTAGAAAGCAGTTATCATTTGAAAGCTAATAGATTTTTTCGGTGTACATTCAAATTATGTTGTTCGAATCTATTAAATTTCGAAAATAAGCTTTGGAACTTTGATCAATCATAAAACGAATGCAGATACTAGTACAAGAACAATACTTGTTAAATCCTTTTCCATATTATGATAAAGATAATCATTAACCAGAGGTTAATTTGAAACTAATTTAAACATGGGTATGGTAAATTCACGTCACGGTAACTTTCATTGAACCAATAGTGGCGTGAACATTCTCTTTTTTCTACGAGTTCATTTTTTTCAGTATATATTTTTTTAAATTTTTCCCTTAAGGTATAAAGTATTTCAATTTACATGTATTTTTTTTAGCAAAGTGTCAGAAGGGTATATTTTCATGCAGTGAGAAATGTATTTCTGTTGTGAGTGTCCGTGTAATGAATGTTAGGAAGAGTATTAAAAGCAATATCGAGAAAGGTGTAAACCAAAAGATAAACCAATTTCGTCCAGTTCACCAGATATTTATTGTAACTTTCTAAAAGAATATATCAAAGACTATTTGTTACAGAAACTTAACTTGACTTTTCCTCTCATTAGTAAGCCTCAAAAAAAGACGTACTCACTCCTGGTTAGAATAGGAAACATTCTTTCAACTAGACTTAATTTATACGTGACTTTTGTCTTACACGTCACGAATTCGAATTTGAGAGATCACTAGAGTCATTCAACCTGCTCTCATATATATAGAAAGACAGAGGGACATCGGTGACATATCAGTATCTGGGAGCAATTTTTACTAGCAACAATGATGTGGAAGAAGAAATAAAAGCAAGAATAGTAGCGGGAAATAGCATAATTTTCACATTTGCAGCTATTTAAAAGAAATATGTTATCAAAGGGCGCAAAGCTAAGACTGTAAGAGACAGGACAGTGATTACACCAGTTGTAACATATACCGCAGAAACGTGGACTATAAAAGAAAAGTCTTGCGGTTTTTAAAAGACGAAATATGACAAGGATATTTGAATCAGTTAAAATGCCCAATGGAGACTGACGGATTCGGACCAATTCCAAACTGGACATTATACAAAAACATTCATTTTGATCAAAGCCATGAGATTAAGTTGGTTTGGTCATCTTAACAGGATGTCGCATGACAGAATAGTGAACAAGATCTTTAGCTGGAAGTGAGTACCAGGAGAAGAGGAAAACCTACAAATCGATGGAAAAATGATGTTGTCAAAGACATCAGGAAAATGAAGATTGAAAATTGAATCGGACACTCGAAGAATAGGAAAAAAGGGAAGAGTTGAGCAGACCAAAACGTTCACTTGAAGTTCGTGGAGCCTTAGAAGAAGATTGTCGCTTCTATTTTCTCTCTCGTTTCCGTCATATTTCAGTAGTCCAAGGACGGAAATACAAATACCCCATTCATGCTTTACACTGACTTGCCATATAACGCATGAATGGTTCTTTTAAAACAAGGGTGTTGGCATTATCATCTCTAAGCATGTACAATGTCCCGGACACGAAATGGATTGTATCAATGTATTAATTTGAGACCGTGAATAAAACTGGTTAAGAAGCTTATTTCCGAAATGATAATCTAAACATCTGTGACAAAATAAACGCGTGTGACATATTCTTAAATAGTTAGAGTTTATCCTTTAACAACATAGTTATAGTTAAACATAGATTTTCCATTTTGAGAATTTTAAACATATAAATTTGACTTTTAAAACTTTTGTTAAAAAATTGTTTTGTAACAAATATTTATTTTCAGATATTGAAGAGGATCTCACATTTTCAGATTGAAACGTCTATCATATTTTTTTCTTAAATTATGACTGGAAGCATTACTTATTATTTGACTGAAAATATTCACGCAGTGGTACAGTAGTTACGTTGAATGCTTGCGGTCACGCTCTGACGCAGTCACGGATATTTCACTTCCCTGCCGAACATCTTTGCATACGGGGTTGACTAAAAACTCAGGAGATAATGTCACATATGTAAATGAACGGATGTTACATGAACACGCCTCAATAAACCTGTAATCGTAAACATGATGCAGAGAAAAATATTCCGATGAATAAAATGAAATTTTGTAAAGGTAAAATGTTCAACAATTGCCTTAGACCCGTTCTTGCCTACGAAGCAGGAATCAATACATCTAACGACCCAGAACGCATAAGTTTCAATTTTTATTTGAATACAAAATTGAAATACCTGGAAATAATTGGATGATTAAATCTTTGATAGACATGCATTTTTTTATTCAATAGATAACTATTAATTGACATTATTTTAAAAAATCCATTGAACATCAGTCAATTTTACTTGTTGAGATAGGTTCGACCTTGTGCCACGTATTTTATCTCATCAGAAAAAATCTCGTGATGGGCTACTCCATAATTATATTTTTCGAAAATATCTTACCTTCTTATTACCAACAATTTCCAGCGGGTATTGTGCTCGTTCTGATTCAGAGTTGGAAGTTTTGTTGGTGCGAAATCCAGTTACTTTAAAGTTTAAATGGATGTCTCCCCCTAGATCTTCAAATTCAAGGCCCATGCTCTCAGTTACTTGAGCGTAGTTGATAATCCCTGTATGGGGGGACCAGATTGCTCGCACTCCCTGAAAGTAAATTCATGATTCAAACGAATAATATATACTCGTATACACACTGATAATAGGTCAATCCAAAAATACGTACTTTACAATTAGGCTCTATTTTCTTTATTTCATGGCCTTCCAAGACTCTCATACCTGGTACATTATTTTTTTTCCCGCGTTCTATGAGATCATCAAGTTGTTCACACTCAGTTTTATCCGTAGCAACAATAAGCTTTCCGCACTTTTTATACGGAATATTATTTGAGTCACAATACTTATACATTAAATGTAATCCCTGAAATAAAGATACGAACACAAAAATAAGAGGAAAATGATTCTCATTTAAAGGTAATATCATTCACACGTCTTGATTATAAGGAAATGCAGGAATTGAAAAACGTTTAAAAATTACATGTGGTATAAATGTACATACATCAGATAATACAATGTTGCCCCTTTTTAACAATTATGATACTTACCTTCACACAAAGAGTAGCCTTCAATGATTTTGGTTTGTAGTAAATTCCAGCATGTATTACTCCACTGTTGTGGCCGGTCTGATGAAGGGCCAATTTCTTTTCTTTTTCTAGCAGAGCAACTTTTATGGTTGGGTGCTGATTTAAAAGTTCCCTGGCTGTCGCCATTCCAACAATTCCTCCACCAACAACTACGACATCATATAAACAAGGATCTTCATCGGTGGAATAATGTCGTTGATTCTTCCAATCGCTGTGGGCAAAAAGACATTCAAACTAGCGGTGCCAAAACAGCACATACTTCCTAATATTATTATACCGCAATTCCTGCCCATATCAACACATCTCGGTGGATGGGCGCTGGAAACAATGGGCACATATTTTCTTATCAATTTTGCTTACAAACGCCATTATTGCCATAAATGGAACTGTTTTTCAGTTTTCATTGTTCTGGTTTTATAAACGTTCTTACAGGATTTTCTTTATGAAACACTATTGCTTCGGTTACGAATACATAAAATTATTTTTCGTCATGCCTCCAAGGATATTCTAGGTTGATACTTAAATTTTTCAATTATTTTATATGAAGACCTACATATCCATAATTAGTCTTCATAATTACGACTTAAAACAGAAATTAAACAGTTATAGATGCCCCGAAAAGTTGTAAAGCAGAAAGCCCGCTAAAATGTTTCATTTTTGCTGCCAGCTCGCCTTCAGAAACTGTTCAAACTTCCTACGTTTGTTTTTGAAAAAGTTAAAATAATATGAAATAGTGCATGAACGAATACTATTCTAAACAAATTTTTAGATCTAGCAGTTAAATATTACTCACTTATAGCTTGTCCTTTCGCATTCGAATAAACGTGTCAAATAGTACAAACGTTTGCAATACTTAGTGCTAATTCTATTGAATAAAAACGTAACTTTACGTTCATTACAATCAATTTACTATTACTATAATACATTATATATCATTTCCTTTTTTTACATAAAAGTTGTAATTGTAATTTATCAGTTCGCTTATCAGAAAGCAACATGTTACAACACCGCATCCAACAAAGTGGGAGGAATTTGAATTTACCATTCCGATTTTTTTCCACTTTTCGAAAATGAAGAGAGTGTGCCGAAAATTAGACCAACACCACTTTCTTTACGGTTTCATCCTTTCCAAAGATATCCGACTTCCGAGTTTATTGTTTGAAGGCGAAATTTTGTTGTGAAACTATTTCTCTCTGGATTTCCACATAGAACGGAAATATTGTTTTAAGAATATTAAATAACAGTAAAACCTCGTCCTAAATGGCAATTTTTATCGAAAGTTTCGGCGATCGAAACGTTTGAAGAAAAAAATTGGAGCCATTTATAAGAAAATGTCGTTTTAGTGTTTCTGAAAATACAGACTTTTGAGCCAGTTTTCACAAAAAATAGTAGTTTTCTAGAAACTGTATTCGACATTATTTAAAGCATTTATGCTCATAACTTGTTAACAAATCGCCGCTAATGTAAATATAAACGACGTGAGAGACAAGTTAAAAAAATTACATTTGTAAATTTTGAAAAAACAAAACAAAAGAATACAGCAACCTGGCATTTAGCACTGTCCATACCAAAAGTTTAAAGAAAAAATTTGGGGTCGTTTTTGAGAAAATTTTGTTTTCGTTATTTTTAAAATAGCACATATTGCACGCAATATTTGCGTCAACTGCTAAAATTTCCAAAAAACGTAAATGAATTAAATGAAAGAACTGACAATGGAGAACAAATTTTATTTGAAGGGGAAAATATCAATCTTCAGTTTTGTAGTTGTAGGAAGACGCGGAAAAAAATTCAAAATTTTGCAATTTTCGAAACTCCAGTCAACCGTGGAAATATGACCTATACCATCTTTATAAATAAATTTTACTCTATTCTGACAAGAATTTTAAAGAAAAAATTTGGAGCCTTTTTGAGACAATTTTAAAAAGGTCCGGGGGGCCTCATGTAAAGTACCCCACAATTAGAAGAAAGGTTTTCAAAATCGCAGCGGCTTCAGTGGAACCAGATCGATCAGGAAATTTTCATTTTGGAAAATATCCTACGTAGTTTTCGCAGTCAAAACCCATGTTTTGTGGGTCCTTAATTCCGAGAAATTGATTGACTGCAAAACGTCCGTCAGTCCGTGCACAACGGTAGCGCATTAATTCTGCTGATTTTCTCCAAAATTGATACTCCCGAATCGTTCTAGCTGATGTCGCCGCCCTTGGAATTTGAATATTTTAATTTTGGGGGTACTTGTGAAGAAGCCTCTGGAACATTTTCAAAAAAATAAAAATAAGTTCCAATTTTTTCCATTAAATTTTGTTGTTCAATGCGGCAAAAGACATTTAAGAAAATAGCGCAAATCTCATTTTCGATAACATCCCCAACTTTTCAAAAATTGCAAAACCAATTTTAAAACTTCAAAATTTGATATAGAGATTTTTGCCTCAAAGTTGTACAAAATTAGCTCTTCAAAAAAGTTCATACAAAATGTTTGAAGAAACAAGTAGCTTTTGCGTATTTTGCGATTGAAATTTACAACGACAAAAATTTTGCAAAAACCGCTCCAAAGATTTTGTTTAAATTTTCTTCACTTACATAATTAGATACGAAAAAATATGGTGGTAGTCATATTTTCGGGTATTGCACTTATTTTCAAAACAAAAAAAAATAAAACTACAAAATTAAAGTTAGAGGTTTTTACCTCAGTCTGTTATACAAAATTAGCTCTTCTAAAAGTGCCAGGTACAAGTTTTTGAAAAAACTAGTTTTTTCGTATTTTGCAATTGAAATTTACAAAAAAAAATTCAAAAGCCACTTCATATTTTTTCTATAAATTTTCTCCTCATATGTAATAAGTATCGGTAAAAAATATGGCCCTAGTCTCATTTACGGGTATTGCTCACATTTTTCAAAAATTGCAAAAAGGAATTGCGGTATAGTATTACATAACCGTTACTAAGTGGCGAGAAAGTATGTGCTAGTGTAGCTCCACTAGTTTTTATATTCATTCTTGCCATGTAACTTGTGTGGCGAGTTTTCTTTGCAATAATTATTCGTATTTCAAACAATGTGCTGATAGTAAAATAAATAATTGTGTTGGTAGAAAACTATATGGAAGTTCAAAGATTAAGATATGGTTTCAATTTAAAAAGGGGTCCGTGAGTAATGCTTAGAGTGAATCACAATCAATGGATTTCACATTGTAAAATGTGCCTCTGCTTTAGAGTTGGAACACCTAATGTTCATCGAAGAGCCGTGCAAGTAATGTCCCATTATTCCACAGTCTTGTGAGAAAACTACATAGAAACAATGAGACTCATTTCTTAAAATATAACCTCAAGACTGGGCGAAAGTACATTATTTTTAATAAGTAGATAATATGTGCAAAAACTTAGTTTTTTCGTATTAAAATAAAAATAAGGGCTTCCTAGATAAGTGTCCGATCATCCTCTTCCCTTAAACCTCGAAATCAACACTCGATGTGGAAAAGGGATTAAAATGGAAAATGATGCATAATAAGGTCAATACAAAGCCGATCCGGGTAGTCGAGAAAGCTAAGGTAGGAGTGCCCTGGCGGTCTAGGACCGAAGGATCGTGGGATCGACTCCCGCCTGGGGCATGTTTGTGTGAGTCTCTATATGTTTAAAATTGTCCACTTCATCCTTCATCATCATTATCATTTCGCCTCATCCACCAGAGCCAACAACCGCGGGTGTAACTACGGATTCAGCATGAAAATGCTGATCTCCCCTCCATAAAAGGTCACGTGCACCTACCCTCGATAAATATGTCAGAACCCCGGTGAGTTACACGTTCTCGTGGTCCCGAGATGGCCAATTAGTGACAAAAAGGACAATGCAAATTAATGATGAAACATTAAGATGAACTGACTTAAACGTTGATTTACTAGTAGCACATGCACGACAGCATTCCTGCAGACTGATTTTACAAAGAACTTGCAAAGATTTATGAGACTACCAACCTAATAGATACACTTTAACAGAAGATAATGCCCTTTCACAGAAGCAAATTGTATATTAACGTATGTTTAATAAATGCGCCATTAAAAACAAGTACACCTGTGTTCCTACGAGGTAGAGTAACCAAACGGTTATAAGAACCTCTTTTCTGCCGTTCTTTGCTGGCAAGGAAAAAATATAAAGTAAAAAATACTCACCATCGAAAAATTGTACATGAACTTATTTTAAGATATTCTTGAAAAGCACATTAAGGAAACTCGCGGTGCTATAGAATGGCACAAACTTTCTCGTACTCGTTAGTTTTCTTTGGTTTGGAGTAGCTTTTCGGACATGCCTCATACACTTGCCAGCTGACATCTATTGCCACTAAAAGTATTTTTTTCTGAACTTGTCGGTTCCCTAATAGAACCGAAATCTTACTTTAAGAATATTACAGAAGAGTAAAACCTCGACCTATAAGGAAATTTTCGTTGAAAACTTCGGAGCCGTTTTTTGCAAGACCAATTCTTCCCTCTGTTCTGTGGACATTGCTTTTCAATGCCGAGGTGACAGTTGAACTCAGACGCCGTAATACATTCACTGTGAGATGCAAAACATGTTCTTCGAGCATATGAAACATTACTGTAATAAAACATCAAAATTTGTAAGAAGTGCTAACTCCCGTGAACTGAGCAAATGCAAATTAAGTCCTTGACTTAATTCCATCTGCAAAAAAATTGTAATGAAGCTCACTTAGGGTCATCAAGCAACTATAGATATTTCCAAGAAAGCAAGAAGCATCCAAGTAATGAAACTCATCTATCATTATACACAAGCAGATACCATCATTCGATTATTACTATTACATAAATGTAAAAACCGTGTAAATCGCGGGTGGCCGATGTGGGTTTATTAGTGTTGGCAGACTCCGCTCTTGGGAGGGGAAGGTCGCTGGTTCGAGTCTAGGTCGGGGAATATTATTTGCCACAATTCTCTGTTGCCGCAGAAAATAATTGTCAATTCTAGAAACTTCATTGAAAACCATTTGAAGCAATTCTAAATGCAAATAGAATTAATCAAGATAAATAAACTGGAAGTGTATGTATGTGATTTTCGAATTTTCAAATTTTAATCAATTTTTCACATAACTTGTTCAATTTGTAAAACGTATGAACCATCAACTCAATTGTTCTTCCGGCGTTTGAGACTATTATAGAAGTGCCAATTCTATGTATAACTCGGGTGGCTGATGAGGTTAAATGTCGGGTTT